GCAAATTTCGGGGAAATAAAAAACTATTTGTGTTGTTCACAGTGTTTTTTCCAAAAACCTTACGTATAAAGACGTCAGTGGCCCCCGGTAATGTATTTTTTCAATCCGGGTATGTTCAGGTGAGTTGACCAAATTTGTTCCATAAGGAATATTGTGAAGAGATTGTCCATTTCAGCCCCCCAAACATCACGTACAAACGCACTTCATAAATAGCTTACATTTTGGTTGCTTCGGAGGTGATCGTTATGGGGGGGGGTTCACGTACTAACAACATAAAAGAAAAAGTAAACATGAATCCAAAATAAACAATAAAAAAAGTCATTAAAAAAAATGTTTTGTTGATTTCAGTAAAAAAGTTCGACTTATGACGGTTTCTGGGAAACCAAACCCGGGTCGTCGTGGATGGTAGGGGTATTCGAAGTTGGCGAGTGCCTGTGCCTTGAGATGATCGTCACCTAGGTAAGGAAGGAGCCAGGGATATAATTAGTCTCTAAAGTTTTTGATGTAAATATGCAAAGAGTTCTCAAAATCCTTTTAAGGGGTTTTTTGGTCACTAGAATTTAAAAAAATTAGTTGATATTTTTCTGAAGCAGAAAGGGGTCCTATTTTCCCCCGGGAAAGTGATCATGGGTGTTATTCCCATGGGTTTGTATATTGTAATCCTAGTACAAAGGTACTAGGTTTTGTTATGCGAAGAACATCTTTCCGTTTTTTCTTTTCTAGTGAAAATTTCATGAAAAGAGGTGATCTTCCCTTTGGTATGACGTGAATGGGTGTGTTTCCTTTAGAAAAAACATGCATCAATGCCTCCCCCAAATGCCCTTGCCTGTTTGTCACTTTAGTGAGGTGTAGCCAGCAATTTAGAAAAATTTTTTCCCCAAAGGTCGTTGCCCAGAAATGTCTCGATACAGGATACATCAGGGGGGACGAGTGTTCACGAAAATTGTTTTTGAGAGGCCCATCAACTTGGTAAGAAACCTCTTTGTTGGAGCAGGTGGATGGACTGGCCTTGTTTGGTTCGCTTGGTAATAGGGGGTGTAAAGGGAGCCGGGGAGCCATGTCTTTCTGTGGTCTTTTATAAAACACAGAGCCCCCCCTACCTGGTAGGACTGCGGGTGGGGGATTGAAGTGTGCCCCCCAGTTTTAAAGACCCTGCTGTTTGTTTAAAAATTAAATCTCTAAAAATTTTTGATTTATCTGTCGGTTTTTTTTTTATTTGACATCAGTCTCTGTAAGTTCCCTCTTGTGGTGGTATTTACACAAAAATTTTTTCAGGATTAGAAAGTGGGCAGTGAAGCATGTAGGTGCTGGGAGGATGGATCATATTTTGCAACTCGTGTTTTGCTGCTGATTCGGAAACTGATTTCTCTGCTCTGCTGCTGGTAAGCCTGATGGTATGTACCTGGTGGGCACTTGCCTGGGGATGTGTTGGCAGGGGATGAGACATCTGTGAGTGGCTGACAAAGGTGCAATTGGCGAAGATCCAGGACCTTCAACCAATCCTGAGTACACAACTGAAGGAAAACTGGTGCTGAAGAGTTTTACCCGGGACGAGTCGAATTATTTTAAGAGATCTAGCACTCATTAAAGAAAAAGCAGAGCATGTCTCGAGGCTCAGACAGAATGTTCTAGTATGTCACTGTCATAAATGAAATATTAATTTGGCATTTTCTTTACAGTAGACAGTCCACTCTCTTATTGCAGTGATATCACAGACTTCTCTCAGGAGGACAAAGCATCTGACCAGCATCTTTTCATTAATTTCAGAACATGGCTTGAAGGCTGTTTTCCTGCACAATAAGAAAATAAAGCTGTGAATACAAATTCATTGATTCACTTCAATGCAGAACTCATCAATGAAGTGTCTGTGATACAGTATGTTAGTGAGCATGTTTCCTGTGCCTACAGACAGTTGTGCTAGAGCAGATTATTACATTGTAGATGTGAGCAGCAGCATATGAGCCACAACCGAACAGTGTCCAGTGTGTTCCATTAATTGATCCAGACCCCTCCTTGATGCTGGTCAGGGGCTCTTAATCCAGATCCCTGAATTAAGCCTAAATGTCTTCCATTCCCCTCCCCCCCCCCATCCCCACAAACACTGTATAGTTCCTATGGATTTAGCACTTTCATAATTGATGCACCTGCCACCTCTCCACATTAAGAATGGTTTAAGGACTTTTTAAAGTGATGGATAAGGGGAACTCAAGAGGGTTTTAATGCCTTGTTGCAAAATTTCCAAAAGTTAATACTGCAAAATCTGAGGCGAGATGGCGTCCAGAATCTACTTGAAGCATATAGAGATGAGGTGTCACATGTATTTGATAATACATTTTTTTTTACACTTGTACATTTGCTTCATTATTTTTTTTCATCCAAAAAAATCTTTGCGCTGTGAGTGAAGAGTGTGCGAACATTTCCATCACAACACTCAGGCAATGAAAAAGTGCTACCAAGGTTTCTTGAATGAATGACGTCAGACGACTGTTGTATGTTGTACCACAATAAACTAAAAGTTTACAAGAACTTACTCAGTGGTTTTAAGGTCTTGTATATTTATTTCCTAAGTGTTCTATAAGCATTTAACAAGTGTACAATGTGCATTGTAGTATTAAACTGTATGAGTGGTTATCCTAATACAGTGGACCCCCGGTTAATGATATTTTTTCATTCCAGAAGTATGTTCAGGTGCCAGTACTGATCGAATTTGTTCCCATAAGGAATATTGTGAAGTAGATTAGTCCATTTCAGACCCCCAAACATACACGTACAAACGCACTTACATAATTACACATATAATTGGTCGCATTGGGAGGTGATCGTTATGCGGGGGTCCACTGTATGTGGTTTATTACATTCTGAAATGCTGTATAGCCCTTGTGGCTTAGCGCTTCTTTTTGATTATAATAATAATACATTCTGAAATAAGATTTGTTGGGATTTTTAACCTAAAGTAGGGAGGGTTAATCACCCAGGGGAGGATTAGCCACCCAGGATAACCCAAGAAAGTCAGCGAGTCATCGAGGACTCTTATATGTCTTATTTCCACCGTGGTCTTTCAGTCTTGT